GTCAATGTCATATAAGTTGAAAAAAAGCTGAGGAACTCTTCCAGAGCAAAGGAGATTAAAGACACATAACGACTAAATGTAACGTGTGATTCCGAACTGGATCATTTTGCTATCTGGAAATCCTTGAAAGGTTGAGGAGTAGGTGGTAGTAATGCATCAATGTCAATTTCCTGATTTTGTTGTTATGTTGCATAATGTCTTTGTTGACAGGAAATAGACACTAAAGTATTAGGGGGAGATCGGGCATAAATCTGAACTAAATAGTTGAAGGAAAAAGTTATTCTTTGTACTGTCCTTGTAGCTTTTCTCTAAGTTTGAGATTGTTTCAAAAGCACCCCCCAACATACACACTAATACAACAACCACACCAACATGTGAATGACTCTTCAGAGTTTTCATTGTAACTCTCTCTATATTAACTAATCCTTATAAAAAAGTTAAGTATGAATATGGATATTATTAATTTTATATTTTAAATGAGGAACCATGGGGAGGAGAAGTTAAATGCCAGAGATCATACAGGTAGTAAGTAGCCAAGCATGGACTGGGTGGAAAGAGAGGAGAGACAAAGTCCTGGGTGCGGGGTGATTTTTAGGGAAAACAGGTACAGATGAGGGTATTATGGTTAGGGTGGGATGGGGATGGCTTGACAGTATCAGGATAGAAGGAAGGTAGATACACTTCAGACAGGAAGAGATGGAAAGGGGAATAATCACCAGCTCAGAGAAGTTAAATAATTTGCTGAAGATCACCTAGCTAGAAAGAGTGAGCTGGGCTCAAGGGGTTTTCTTTAACTTCACATTTCACAACCTTCAGTTTGTCAATTAGAGATCATCAATGATGATCTGCAAAAGCAGGTTTAGTAAAAGAGGATGGGAGCCTGAAGAGAGGGTTAATGGGAGAGTGATGTGTGGGAGAATGGAGAATTGGAGTGTTGTTTTCTCTTTGGTTGAAGAGTGTGAAGGGGAGAGGTGAGGCAGGAACCTGGAAGGGTGACAGGGTTAATGGAAGATCTTTTTCTTAAAATGGTAGAATCCTGAGTAGATCTGCACACAGGAAGAAAAGACCAGTGAAAAGAAAAGCCTGGAGATACAAGAGAGCAGTAGGTGGGGGTTACATCACAAAGGGCTCTGAATGCTTTCCTAGGAAGGCCGGTTTTAAGCCTGTGAGTGACTGGCAGCCATTCTAAATGAATGGAGGCCATAATTAGGTCGTGGAGTGGAGTGGTTAAGAGCCTGGGCTATGAAGTCAGACTTCTGGATCCGTACTCTGGTTCTGACATGCTTAGACATGGTATTGGGCAAGCACCTTAATTTCTCTGCCTTGACTTCTTATCTTTAACATGGAGGATCATAAAAACACCTATGAAGGATTACATGAATTAATACATGCAACAACCCTGAAAAGTGCTTGATACATGGGAATACTCAATAAATGTTAACTATTACTATTTTTGGTGGGCTAATGTGTAGAGGTCTGAAAATCTTTTTCAACAGTTGATGTGAGAGATAATGAGCACTTGAACCAGGGTTGTGGTAGAAGGCTTCCATGAAGGGGCTAAATTTGAAACGTATGAGTAGCTAAACATGGCAAGACGTGGTACCTGATTGAAGGCCTGGAGTAAGGGAGAAGATTTGCAGAACTGGGTGGTGATGTTGCCATGGCAACATAGCAAATGATGAACTGAAGATAGCAAATTCAGTTTGGGATGCATTAAGATTGAAGTGCTATGTACATCTAGGTAGAGATGCCCCACAAACAGTTGGGTATATGAGCCTGAATTGCTGGAGAGAAGTGATCAGATATAACCTATACCTAAACCATGAGACTAGACAAGAAATTTGGGTCGAAAGCAGTGTTGAAGAGTTGAGGAGGGATTTGTGACAGGTTTGGTACAGATCCTGTCAAAAACTCAGCAATAAACTAAAGAGAGCCAAGTAGGGGCCAGTTGTGGGTTAGGTTGAGGTAGACCTCCAATGCAGGTCCAGGTAAAGTCATGGTGTTCCAATTCAGATGGTAAGGTGGCCCTGACAGTGATGAGGACGTTCTTCATGACATCGTGAGCATTTTAGGAAAGTCAGATATAACTTCCATCAGGCTGTCCCAAATACTAACCTTTATAATTGATTATGTCCACACATGATGGTCATAATGTTTTCTATTGAAACATTTTGCCCAGAGTTAAACAGAAAGTCAGACTGGGCAGAACTGTTATTGCAAGCAGCATGTTTTACGTCTGATCCTATCTTAGGTTGGTTGTTATGCCTCAAAAGTCTTGGCGAGCCACCTCTATGTGGCACTGTGCCTCCCTAGCAGATGGGAATGAGTGTAGTTATTCAATGATTTGGTATGTGCATCAATTTTAATGATCAAAATAGGATTTTCTGTGCAGAGTGTCTAGGCATGAGGTTAAAAGGATAAAATGCCATTATATCTCCAGTGCGGAAACAGATTAGTTCTGAAAAGTTAACAATTGCTTATGCAAGTTAAAAGTTTGTTAAATTTCACTGGACTTGTGTTCATCTGGGAACTTATGATAATGAAGCCTTTCAGTCTCAATTCGTGTCTCTAGAGAAGAATACATAAAAATTCATTTAATAACTCAGACTGACTTTGATCTCTGAACAGATGAATCAGGTGCAAAAAAAGTGGAATGTAGATCTTTGTGTGTGCCTCATATCACATTGCTTCTGCAGAAGACAGCACAATTTTGGAGTCATAAATGTATCTCTATAATTCTGGCAATCTAACATATAGCATGGTGACTATAATTAGTAATACGGTCTTGTATACTTGAAATTTGCTAAGAGAGTAGATCTTAAGTATTCTTACTAGACACACACACAAATGGAACTATGTGAGATGATGGGTGTGTTAACTAACTTGACTGTGATAATCATTTCACAATGTATGCATATATCAAAACATGACACTGTATCCCTTAAGTATATATAATTTTTATTTGTCAAGTACACCTCAGTATATTTGGAAAAATGAAATAAAGGTAAGAGGAAATGCAAAATTAAAGGCAATGTATCAACAACTTCAGTATAGAAAATATTTTAAAGCTAAAATACATAAATAATAAAAATTTGACCCCAGAGGCAGAATTTTATGGCCATGTTTATACATGCAAAATAGAAAATGAGAATTCAAGAAAATTATAGGAAAAAATGTTTTACTCTATTACATTAAATTTGGTTAAAACTCTTTTTTGCATAAGGGTTTCATTTTTTTTATTTTGCTTTCTATATATATATATATCCAGTATATATAATATATGTATATAATTATAATTATGTGTGGGAGTATACTGCAGATTTCTATTATTCTGTAACAAACTACTCCAAAATTTACGGCTTGACAACATCATTTATTTTGCTCATGATTTTGGGATCAGGAATTGAAGAAGGACCCAGCTGGATGGCTTATATCTGCCGCATATGGTGTCCACTGGGGTGGCTGGAGCTGGAAGATCCACTTCCAACGTGCCATCTTTACTCATGTGCGGTGCTTTAGTGCTCCTTAGCACTTTTCTTTCTGTCTCTCACTTTCTCTTTCTTGCTCTCTCTTGCATCACATGTGGCCTCATCTTTCAGGGCCTTTCTATAAGGCTTGGGCTTTTCACAGCATGGTGGTTACAGGGTAGTCTCATGGTTTAAAGAGACAGGAAGCAAATGATTCCAGGGTAGTTAAAGGTTATGCCTTTAACATCATCAGTTCTTCTGTATTTTATTGGTCAAAGCAGACACAAAGCCTACTAGATTCAAGAGGGTAGAGAAATAAATTCTACCTCTTTTTTAAAAAAGATTTTATGTATTTGTCAGAGAGAGAGAGAGCAAGTGCATGAGCAGAGGGAGAAGCAGGCTCCCCGCTGAGGAAGGAGACCAATGTGAGACTTGATCCCAGGACCCTGGGATCATGACCTGAGCCGGAGACAGATACTTAACCGACTGAGCCACCCAGGCATCCCTAAATTCTACCTCTTGATGCTGATATGGCAAGAATGCTGAACCTCATTCTTGATTTTCTGGATGAGAATCAGAATCTCTGTGGGACTCTGTAGCTTTAAATAAGACCTCCATGTGACTGTTAAGTGCGCTAAAACTAGTGCTCTTTCTGAGCATGGCTCGGGAGACATAAAGACCTGGATTCAAATTTGACTGCCACCAACTAGCTGTATGGCCTTGGGAGTGACTTCATTCTCTCAGCAATGTTTTCCTCAATCTGTAAATTGTACCCAAAGATAGTATCTGCTTCATTGTGTTGTTTCTGAGATAAATACACACCACCTATGAACTCTATAGCATAGTGTCTGGGACATTGTCAGTACCTTAATAATAAAGGTTTAGTGAGTTAGTGACTTTCATCCCCCAAACAGATGATGACTTTTGAGTGTGTAGTGAGGCTTTACCCACAGAATGGCCTGGACCTGAACTGTGGGCACAACGAAACTCACGGTGTACCAATATGCCAACGATACATGTACATTCTCTCATTAGAAGCCATCAGATGAACAAGTGTGGACCTTCCTGTATTTCTCGGGGGTTGAATGGATTCAGGTATGATAAGGAACTGATTAAACAGACAGCAGCATACTAGCTGACAACGACCCTAAAATTGTTTTAAAACTGTTCAGGGAAATGGTGGCGACAGTTTGGGCAGTAAGACGCTCTTGACATTCTGTGACTGGGTGGATTTCAAATATGTGTTCCAATGGCCCCAGTGAACTCAGGGCCTGCTATTACGTGGTAGTGGGAAGGAGGACTTTGGTAGGAGAAAATGGAGGGCTCCTCTGGCAACTGGTTGAACAAAGGAACTAAAGGCTCGATATCATACATTTATTAACAATTGTGTTATACTAGAATTAGAATTAAAAACACTAAACATGAACAATTATGAATAAAGTGTGAGAAGGCTAAGTTTTTCCTGAAAAGTTTCAGGCTTAGAATGTCAACAAAACCTGCAGAAAAGACTTAACGTATTTGATTCTGTTCTAGATGTCAGCTGCAATCGATAAGAGACTATAGCATCTGAAAAATGGGCACCGTATGTTTGTGACAGTGAAAGAAGACAAGAGTGTTCAGAAGAAGATGAAAAGCACCCAGGTTCTGTTTCTTGTCCCTGAAGAGCTCTCAAAGTGAGGTTCTTTTTTAAAAGTCAACATACTTGAAATCCCGTACTTAAATGTGTTTTATATAGCTTAGAATGAAATGAGAAACAGGTCCTGGGAGAGGTCCACTGAGAATGATAGACTGAATTTTTACACACCCTGTGAATTTTCTATGTTGTCTGTCCCTTTAGGGAAAAACCCCTCTTATTTATGCAAAACATGTTCTTCTAAAGCACTCAGGGCTTTATGGCTGACACTGATCTATATTTACTTATCGAATCAAGTCCCAAAGCATTCCTAATTATCTAATTTCTATTTCTTTATATCCCCTTGTTTTCTCCTTCTCTTCTTTTCTTTCTAAAATCTCTCATTACATTTGTTTATTTGTTTCTCTATTCATTCTGTTGAGATGTCTACCCACCGCACTGATCCAATATTGACCCTTGGTAATGATGACAATCCAACAATACAGCAATAATGACACATTATCTCTGGTGACCTAATCTCTGGTGACCTAATCTCTGGTGAGCTGGTTCTAGACCTAAAGATTAGATGCTCCTACTTCCTTCCTTCCTCTTCTCTCACCTGTGCTTCTCCCCAAGTATGGATACTTCGGTCTTATATTTTGAATAGTGGATATAAATTTGTTTTTGTGATGTATCATAACCTCATCAGAGCCATGAACACAAATCATGGGCATACTCTCTCATTCTGTTCCAGTACTCAGAATGTGGGAAGAGGAAGACATCTTGGAGCAAAGAACAAGTACACTCACTGTGTATACACTTAATCTTAGGTCTCATAATCTAACAGAATCTACTAATTCATTCTTTTGTTTCATTGTTAATATCTCACGACCAAGAGAGGGACAAAATTCTTTTCTTTGTCTTCCATCCTACATAATCAGGGGACCAGAATAATTACGTAGATAACACAAAGCACCTTTTCCAGACTCACTTGAGGCAGAGATAAGCTCACTTTATGCCAGTAAACGTGGAGGTCCAAGCAGTTTCAGGGTGAAGTGGCCTCAGTGAACACTTGAGTGAAGAGCTCCCTGACTGTCGGTCTGCCATCTCCTGGGCCCCCCAGGCATTGGGAATTTGTGGAGCAGCAGCTGGGCAGAGAGACACCCTTCCTCTGTGCCATGTGCACTAGTGTGGTTGTTTCCACTACTAAATTCAGCCATAACAACTTAGCATCATATTGGCGTGCAAACTGCTGAAGCGAGAGGAACTTTGTTTCTCTCTGAGAGAGTCCATCCTTGATATTTCTTTTATGTCTGATATTTTTATGAAATCATTGTAGAGCTCAACCGTCAAAGTATATCCTCAGGAAATATATTAGATCTCTTCTGTGCAAGGAAGAATTATGGGACTAACAAGAGGTTTTTGTTTTATCAAGTCTCTAAAAACTGATACAGAGGAGGAAATATTTTCAGCAAGTTTTTGAGAATGGTAAAATTAAGCCGATTTAAAGAGTTGTATTTTCTGTGCTATTGCCTGAGCACAACCCACTTCTCCATGAAACTTTTATCTTAGCTGTCAGGACGAAGACATAAGCACGACTTTAGCAATTTGTATTCCAGGCAGACACATCAATTCATCTCTAAGGAGTCAGAAAATGGAAGGAAGCTGCAATGAAGGTGGCTTGAATGAAATGAAGAAGAAACTGTGGGATGCCTCATAACACAGCCTTGCTCTGGACCAACCGCTACCGTAATTGATCCCTTGGGAGGCTGAAAGAACCTCGGCCTCAGAGGGAAAAGAAGGGAGATGCACATTAACATGACTTATGTCAGGTGTTTTCCACCTGTTACCTTCCCTCTAGCTAATGGGGCCAATAGTCTCATCCAAAATTTATACTTGGTGAAGTCACATTGCTACTAAGTGGGAGGAAACAGGATTTGAACCTGCGTCTGTCTCTTAAGCTTGTGTTTATTCTGCCTCTTGCTGCTTCACTGAGAAGCTACATGCTTAGAATTTCTTCCTAAATAATTGGGATTACTAACAATATTGAGACAGACAACTTTTTTCTAGCTCCAATTCAAGCCCAGAGAAATTCTCACCTATCTTTTTATGTATGTGTGTGACCCAATGTACCAAGCTTACACATTATTAGATAAACATTTAAACTGTGCTATATCTTGTCTAATTTTGCTAACCCATATAAACATGAACTTTCTAACTTTTTTCTTGTATTTCTAGACCTAAAGATTATTCCCCTACACAACTTTCACATGTTTTAAAGTCATTACTGGAGGGAGTAGTTTAAATTTAGTTATTGTTTTAGGTATTTTATTTGTTTCATCAGAAATCTCCATCTAGACCTAGAGGGTATTATGCTAAGTGAAATACATCGGACTGGGAAAGGAAATACCATAGGATTTCACTCATATGTGGAATCTAAAGAAACAGACAAATAAAAAACAGAATCAAACCTATAAATACAGAGAACAAACTGATGGTTGCCAGAGGAAGGGGGCTGGGAGGATGGACAAAATGGGTGAAGGAGGGTGGGAGATGCATGCTTCCATCTATGGAATGAATGAGTTGTGGGAATAAAAGGCAAAGTGTAGGGAATATATCCAATGATATTTTAATAGGGTTGCATGGTGACAGATGGTAGCTACACTTGTGGTGAGCCCAGCATAACCTATAAAGAAGCTGAATTGCTATGCTGTACACTTGAAACTAATGTAACACTGCGTGTCAACTATATGCAAACTATAAAATTAAAAAAAATTCCATCTATGGGAAACTCGACTGCCCTACCGAGTCCTGAAGAAACTGCCAGTGTGCCTAAGCAGCCCTCCGTTTTCATGTCAGCATGGAGTTTCTACTCTTAAAACAGGGCTCTTATTCATTTTGGTCCCCTCTGATTCATGATGTGACAGCTCAAATAAAGAAGCGTGGCCATCCGCTGGAGTCTGCCCCTATCCATATCATGTGGTTACTCTGTAATGATGCCCTGTCACTTAAAATGGGATTTTGCATGAGTGCATCATATAACTGAATTACCCTGTTGCAAACAGCTTATTTTCTCCAGATCCATAGTCCAGAAAAATGACACAAGAAATGACATATTAGATGCCTTTGTACTTTGACTTCATTTTTGGCTTCACCACAGTTTGCATATGATTACAGATGGTAGAAAATTAAAGTGCCCAGCCTTCAATTTTTTGACGATTACCATCTTACTTGTGCAGAAAGGGGTTTACCAAGAAACCAGTTCTGGCAATTCCTTCTCCTCTCCTCTCCATGTTAGGAGAATGAATCTAGGGCCTGGGAGTTAATCTTCAAGGCTGAGAAAACCGGGGCGGCAAACCCTGTTTACAACATCCATGGACTTTGGACTCTTTGCAGCACCTGCGTCTAGAGCTGTGGATGAGTTAATATTAAAAATATGGTGTGATCTGTCAGCCTATGTTGTGGTAAACTGCTATTGGAGGAACTGACAAGCACTGTGAAAGCTTCATTTCAGAATAAATTCCAGTGACGCTTCTCTATTTTAGCAACTCAACATTCGGCATTTGGACTTAACTGCACACTTAACCCTCTGCTCTTTGTATTTTCCCGTTTGTGTGTATTGATGTTGTTTCTATTAGGAAATCATCGTCATCAAATTTTTCTGTCTAGAAGAGACGTTCTTTTTGCTTCTTCGTCATTTCAAACTCACAAATGGGCAGATTCAGAGTCAAGGGAACAATGGGCAGTGCCTACTTTCTCTCTTGGCTTTAGAAGTAAGATGGCTGTGGTTTGTAGCTACTGCTTTTCTACAGGTGGTAATAGACATAGAACATGAAAAATGCTAATAAACGTTTGTTTGCAGAAAGATACCTTAAAAGTCAGTTTCTTACAATATCCACAGGACATCACTCCCTAGCTTCCAACAATCAACATGCTGCTTTTCAAAAACACTTTACAATCTGACCTCTAGTCCCCATCCTTAGCGCTTCTTTCCCAAATCCCAATACCCAAGTTCAATATTTGCTTTATCATGGCCATAGCTCCCTATACCTCACCCCTCATCAATCCTAGTCCATCTTCTCTTTTTGACCAGGTTACTTTCTGAGAAACAAATCTAATTACATTAGTCCCCTGCCTGAAATACTCAACTAGGATCCCCTTTGCCTATAAGATATATTGTGAACTTCATAGCCTGACACTCATCTTCTGACCACAACTGGTCTTTCTCTGATTATTTTATTCGTATTTTTTAATGCCATTCTATTTTGGTGGCTCTTAGAAATGCATGCAATCTAATAAGCTAAAAATGAAAGAAGAAAGGAATCAAATCAAAGGGATTGATGATATCTTATTTTCCTTTTTGTTTTGCCAAATTGATGAAATTGTCCTGTCAAAGTGGTTATGAACATCATTGCTGTATTGATGGAGGCAGCCAAAGGAAATTCTACATGAGTGCCTTATAATTAAATAGATATGAGGATTTACTTGTCCATTTTCCCTTCTCAAATTCTGTTTTCTGTCTTGGAATCTGTTGATGGTAAAGCATAGTTTACATGCAAATGTTTACATTTTTATTAGGATAATGTAAGCATTATTGTGCAGGCATTGCTTCTCTAGCAAATGAGGAAAGATATTTTAAAACTTGAGAAGTTTAAAAACAATTTAGCCTGTCTATTCTCTCCCCAGTCTGGGTTAAGGCAGAACCAGAAATTAAATTAGACTAGTTGGGTCTGATATAGAAGTAGGGAAAAGTAAGACACAGCATTTAATGGATGGCATAATCCATACAGAGCAGAAAATTTTAAGAAGTGGGAGCAGCATAAGTAATTGCATGAAAACTGACAGACACATTATATGTTTAAATTATGGTGAATAAAAATGTTTGGGTAAAAAGGAATTATGTCCAGAAACAGAAAGCAATATGGGCAGAAATGGTCTTAAGAACAGGGCATAGAAAATCTGAAATGCTGGACTAAGGGATCTGAATGTGACTCAGTGAGCAATAAGGAGCTTCTGGAAGTGTTTCTACAAATTGAGTTTGAGCTGCTCCCTGTAGATACAAGTGGAGATGTTGGGTAGAATTCTAGGTATCTGGGTTTGTTCTGAACCCAGTCCTTTCCAGGTTAAATTGAAAATTTACAAACTTTCCATTTTTCACTTGTGGGGCCCTCCACTTTGGAGAGAAATGGAATCTGCAAGTTTAGACTCCAGAATAAACACGCTCGATAACGAAATGATACAAGTTCAAATCCCACCTACGAGGACGCACCTTTGTGACTTTGCCAGTGATCTCATCTATGTTTCCACTCATAAAATTAATGAGTAGGAGTGATGTGCATGGGATGTGTGAACAGATCACAATATTACAATGAGGGGCTTTGCAGTCTGAGAAGCAGTGTCAGAGGCTTCCCAAGAGCTTTCGTAGGTAAGCAGAAATCAGAGCTCTTAGAGGCAGGAATATTCTAGAAGAGGAGGTCATCAGTGAAAGGCTGGGCAGCACCCATATTTAGTACCTTGACAGCTTTTACAATATGTACTATATTACTTGGCTATAATAATGAGAACAATAACCACTGTGTTGAAAATTTGGAAATTGCAGAATAAGTATTAAAAAAAATCATTTGCAACCCAACTATCCAGTGATAATCATTATTAGCATTTTGGTGTATATACAGACAGGCTTTTTTCCCCTAGGCACTGCATGTTCTACTCCTGTACATACATGTAAACTGCCTTCTTCTTAAAAATGTACAAGAGTACTCTTTGCAGATCAGAACATCTTTTTTTTTCCTCTCAGGAATAAGTGAAAGACAATCTGAGGTCAGCTTACATTCAGCATAGGCAACTAAGGGTAAAATGGCATATGATTGCCATTTTGAGTATTTAGTGAAAATTTTACCTTATTATAAAACCACAGGCTGGGGCATGCCAACTGCACTGATATAAATCATGCTGTGATAAATATAAATTCTTTAGTATATTTATTTGCTTCCTTAGGATGACTTCACAGAAGCAGAATTTCTAGGTCAAAAAAGTTGTGAATAATTTTAAGGATGTTAATAAATATTTTCAAATTGTCCCCCGGGAGTTGTTTTTTTTTTTAATAATTTATATTCCCCTGTTTCCCATGTGCAGGTCAATTTTGAAATTTAGGGGATAATGATTTAATGGATTGTTTGATTAATAAGTTCTGTGGATGTGCGGGGCACTGGTATGTATAAAGTGTCAGGTTGGGCTGTTTGCTACAGTTTCATGTAGATTGCCACTCCCCTTGATATTTTAGAAATATTTAAGCAGGTGCTTAATAGTTGATAAATAGCTTGCACATATCCTTTGATTATACATAAAACATTTATTATAACTCCTGAAGGTACTGGAAAAATCAGCAAAGCATACGAAAATACTTAATCTGGCTAGTTAGACATTTATAATATAAGAAGTACTTTTTGTGTGTTTATTAAAGTGGAATCAGATTGCAGAATTCTCAGTAATTTAAATGAAATGTTCCCATGGAAGACACCATATGCTACCATCTGAATTTTGTATGTTTCATTAATTCAGGGGGGAAATATCTTAAGAGCTACCGGCAAAGCATAGTCAAATTTAACTGAAGCATTTATTTTGTCGAGACATTCAAGGGATAGGTCCTTCTGGGTGCAAAATAAATATTATTGAATTAACATTTTCAATCCATAAAGGAGCCAAAAGGGCAAGACCCATTTTCAAAACTGGAAAAGGAATACAAGCAGAGCTCACTCTCTTTACAAAACAATAGATTCTGTAGAGATGTGATTAACTCTTAGAAGTTTTTTTTTTCTTTTCTTTTCTTTTCTTTTTATGTGTTCTTAGCTACAGACTGGTCCATTTGTTAAGAATACCTCATGACCAAACTGATGAATTTGTTCAGACAACAGGTTGTACCACTCAAATATCGTGACCACACAGGAAATCCCTACAGTATCTGAGAAAGCAAAGAAATAATTTTCCTTCTTTTCCTTGACAACATTTGGCAACAGAGTTTCTGGGGGTGGTGGTTTAATGTAGGGAGTCTCATTTGGCTAATTACTGGATTTTAAACAACAATCACATGCCTAACCATTGTGTTGATTGGTAGATTCAATTTTAGTAATTGTGCTTGCTAGGTTTTAAGGGTCTTAAGAATATATACCTCATTTGGCAACCGGATTCTCATCATTAGTTTGTAATAAAAGTGGAGTGGTTATATGCACAAACAACTTCCAGGGCTATACCTATGTACTGCAAACTATAAATAAATGTTAGCTGTTTTTATTTAAAAGTTATAATACTAGTTGTTGATGTTGTTATGGCTATTTTATCATTATTGCTACTATTATTACAATCAGGAAAGCAGGGTCAACTTTTCTCTTTCATCTTTTCAGAGAACTGCTGACTGATACTCCTGTAGGGCAGGAAATTTCTTCCCATGAGAGTAAGGAGAAGTATCTGCCGATCATTG